ATAATTTATAAACAAACACACCTTAAACCTCCCAAACTTTCAATAATCCCATGAATATGCTGCGTATGTTTTCAATGAACTTAAGATAATAAATATATTATCTTTCCAGCTCCATCTTGTCTTTGAGAAGAAATAAACATGATTAAGACTATACAAGCTCTCTTATAACACACGTAATTAAGCCCTTCCTCTCTTTCCTTCTATATATTCACAATCTCTCCAATTAATGGTAATACAAAATTGGCCGGATATTTCATAAAATCTCGATGAGTGTTGCATCCTATCTGAGCCCATACTCGAACTTTGCCGTATCATGCATAAAAACGTATAATAATAAACTTAGTCTGAGTGAAACTTCCTTCTCTCGCATCTTCTAACGTACCATCTGGCATGTTTTCGGAGGCCCATACCAATCATCACCTTAAGGCTGGCAAGCATCACAAAGGTCATGGCCAACAACACCAAAATCCAAAAAATTCTCCACAGGAGTGGATTGTAAGGGAGATGGGCCGCATAAACTGGTCGAAGAACACGGATTACCTAAACACCAGCAAAGAAGTTTCACCACTAAAAAGTAAAAAATGCATACTCGGTCGAACACTCTAACTTGATCATAACAGCAAGTGAAAATGTATGTTTAGTATAAAAATGAAATGTTGAACTAAACAGATGATTTTGAGTAGTAAGTGAGAAGAGGGGGCTGGGGCAGAAAATTTTTCTAAAAGTGCTTGACTTTAGAAATTGCATAGTGGGAGTAATTTTAATAGCAGGGTATAAAGTAGTCTCCCTTAAGTGAAGATGGAAAACACAAAATTCAAAGTATTTTGAACATGTAATTCAGTAACAGCGAGTAATATAGATTTGCAGAGTTCAAGCAATAGCTCACCACACAAGCTGGTGCTAAAGGAACAAAAGTTAGGAGGCTCTTTTTCCCATTCTCTGTTTCCATATTTAACTTCTGGACAGAAACAAAAAATAAAAAAATAAAATAAACACTCACATATAATATATTAGATGTTTTGTCTAATGGAGAGTACGCATATACCTGCTTGCAAAGGTCTTCGAGAAATTCAGAGAATGCAATGGGCTTTATGTCATTGAATTTAGCAATGAATGAGTGTTTTATTATATCAATCATCACTTCACACATGTAAACTACCAAAGCATTCTGCAGCATTTACAGACAAAATGAAGAAGAGAAGTGATCAGAATGTGCAAGCAAAACAAAACAGAACTATTTGATCTGTCTTTTATTTTTCCTTTGATCTGAACTTTATCAGTGTATGATCTGTCACTTACAAATATAAAGCTTTCTAACCAAGGACCCTCAGCTTCCAGTATATTTTGAGCTAGAACAAATAAAACAAATGCTGAAATATGGAATCGCTCGACTGAATCTGGAGATGAGCATAATGTAAACAAAGTTGTTAGAAACAAATTTTTTCATTTTTTTCCAAGAAAGAAAAAACAAGTACTCAAATGTAGCATCATCAAACTATTTTACACAGGAACATATATAGAACAACATAACATCATATGATCATGAAAAGAGGAGAGTTAACACTCAATTCAAGTAAACTAATTAGGCAGAAAACAACAGCAAGTAAAGAGAAGTAATATTGTACTGGAAGAAAAGAAAATTACTCACCAAAATATACCAAACTCTGGACATTGTCTTTGCTGTATCGTTTGAACACATTACTTTTGATCTCGGCAAAATTGTTGGACACAAGCATAGCGAACAGCGCATTATTATGAGCAACTATACATGTCGACAAAGTGATGGCCTGAGCTAATAAGATAAATGAATGAACAAGTATGAGTAGTTAAGGATCCACAATTCAAGCCAGATTTATTAGTACCACAACTAGAAGCATTAAAACTTAGAAGTATAATGATGAGAAGGATATTCGAAGAAGTAATAGCTAAGGCTTCATCTGAAATAAATCTCCATAGCCAAAATTGCATGTTTTCTGGCGAACAGTTTGCAAGTCCATCAGCCGAATTAAATAGAGCTTGCATAACATCACCACCAAAACTTTGGCACAATTTATCAAATACCTGCATCAAGTGGAACACTACATTAGAACATTATCCATTCTTTATGTGAAGGGAAAGGCATATCATAAGAGGAGCCACTGATGTCTAGCAGATGATTTAAAAGCCTGCAAAGGTCAGAAACTGGTGTTAACTATTAGAAAAAGTGAGGAAAGTACTTAAAAACAAAACACCTTATTTTATACATTATATGGCTATGAATAGAGTGAGATAGAGTCATATTAACCCGAATAACATTTTCAGCAGAGTTCTATGTTGCATCTGAACTCAATTAATATTGTCTTGTTCCTGCAGCTTTTATTCTATATCATAAATATTAAGAAAGAAGTGAAAGATTCTGAATTGATCTGCATCTCACAACATAACATTACACCATTAAAGCAACAAAGGGAATGCCTGCAAACTAGTTGTGTTTTCAGCCCATATTTTGCCACGACAGTAAAGATTGCTCGAATGAGAGATAGAGCTAAACTGGAAAAGACTAAAAGAAACTTTATTTCTGAATGGTTGCTTTATTTCTCTTAGCACATGCTCTGGAGTTGTCTCAGTATGTCTACAAGTACTTTCCCTGTTTCTCTTTCTCTACAGAACACATGGTGGCAGCCTAAAAGATTTGCTCCTCGGATATAGTTCAAACTTCAGTTAGAAAGTACTAACTTTAGGAAAAACTAAGTGGTTTCATGCTTTACAACTTGACATCCATATGGACAGCGGAGTAAATCACGATTGGAAACTAATTTGTTAAAACATTCTCGTACCTCCAAAACATTGTACACGACATAGAGTTTAATGATCCCTTGGCCGCGGATCATGTGATAAATCAAGCTGATATCTGGAATAATTAATAAACGGTCAATACAAAATTTTATTAGCTGAACTGAGACATGATCGACTCAGCCAATGGTAAAACTTATACTCACACAAACAAAAGCACACAAACACAGATGAAATTAATTTAATAACGTTGACATTATTACTAAACCTGCTTGTTGTAATACAGTGACTCCACTAACCAGCACAATGAAACAGCCGAAATCAGACAACTCTGCTGAAGAAGGTCTCTTAAACTGCCTGCCACAAATATGGTTAATTTACTCTGTAATGTAAATGGTTCCTGGAGAAATTAACTCGTATACTAACGATACAGCAGAATCAAGCCATTCAAATGAAACAGGTCTTATTATATACTATTTTCAGTGTGACAAAGGTTAGTACAATTTATTCATGTTAAGAAAGAAGTTTACTCTGATAAAGGGACTAACGACAATCAACAAACAGACAGGATGCTACTGTTTTCTGAATCTACCTAATTTGACCAGGTACTAGCCCTGAAAGAAGGCTACAGGGTTTCAAATCATCCTTAATTCAAGTCCCCTCATGCATTCTTCACATAAATACTTTGTGCTACAGTGCTTAGGATGCCTTTAACAATGATATTAAGAAGAAAAGCAAATCTCATATCTAGCAACATTTAATTGAATAACATCAATATAAGATTCAAAATATGACATAGATTTTCATGATAGCATTCAACAGTCTAGGGATTGCCTTAATACAACCATCAGTTTGCTTGTGCAATAAACAAAGTGCCATCAATGGTGATCAGCTACAATAAACATGTTAGCCATACAACTATTAGAACTCTGGTGAAGTGATTGTTCGGCTGACAATTGTGTCATGCAGATCTTTGTATCTTACAAATACACTATGCACTCACACATTTCCAATCAACAGCCTCATCCAATCATCTTTCAGCTTTTATTTTATTAAAGAAGGAAAAAGACACACACATACACACGAGCAAACATTGCCGTCAGTGTTTCATGCCTCAAAATACAGTCTGCTTTTCAAAACAAATGTCCGTAAGTATATGTAACAAAAAGAGTTTTCCCAAACAAAAAGCAAAGCTCTTACACATTTTGCTATCCTTAACCTGATTTAACAAGAAGCATAATTCAAAGGAACAAGCTTTAGTAACCTGGTTTTAAGAAGCTTCCAAAAGGTGATGATGATCCTAGTCGGCATGATGGTTAAGAGTGAGAGAAATGAATCAAAGCACACAAAGAACCCAAAATTGATAAGCTGCATCAGATCACGCCAATATTTTAATTAAAGTCCCAAAGAAAAAAATTTAACTCAAACAACATAACAAAATACTGGATCCAATCAAGCAAACAACTGTTCCCAAAGGTACATAAATTTACGTAAACTGCCTAATTATAACTGAAAGTGAATTGCAAGGCCTGTTCTCATCTCATTAACTACATTCCATGTATTATGACAGAACGATGATGTAAAACGGCAAGGCATACAGATAATAAACTAAGAATGACAAGCCATAAAGAATGAGTAGCATCAGGTTTGCAAGTGAATCAAATTAGAGAAGTTCACCACTTTACCAGTTCACAACGCCATGGCAAACGAAATATGGTATCGTACACTCGCTCCCGTTCCTTCTCATTGCCAAGGATGGTAGTGTTTCTTAAGGAATTTCCAGCATACATTTCTTCCATGAAATATTTCATTGGTGACTTCTCCAGAGGTAATGTGTCTGACCGGAGGGAAGAAAAAGGAAAGAATTACAACAGTATGACTGGGAGAGTAGGATAAGAGTAAGAGAAAACAATAACCTATCAATCAACTAAGATCACCATTACTAGCAAATGTGCACTTAACGTAAGGTTCAAAATGTATAAACCAAAGATGACAGAAATTAAAATGCATGTCAACATATAAGTATGGCAAAAGACATGAACTGGAAACCCCTCTTACTGCCACAAAACACAAGACAAGGAGCCAGCAGATCTAGCTAAAGGCTGCCATTACCCAACAGATTATGAAGTAAGTTTCTAAAACGCATAATCTTGCTAATTAATGTGACATCCTGTTTCAATTAAACAAAAAGATAACATATGCTTCTATAATAGGATAATAACCACTCCTTATAATCATAGAAGTTCCAAAAGGTTTCACTAACACTCATCTGAATAAAGTAGAATTATTGGAGGGCATGTTGTTTTCATGGATGGTAAACACAAACATTTAAATGTGTTTATCACGAGAAGGTAAGATAGACCAACATTCGTTTTTGAAAACTTGTTGATTATGATAATGGGAGAATCAGAAATGCATCACAACCACACTTTTCCATGATTAATGATACCACCTTCTCAAATTTTGAAAACAAAGAATCACCTAGTCTAGAAAAAGTACAACAAATTGAGTTTCTGTGCCACTACGTATCAAGCATTCCCAAGAAAATAGCTCACAAGTGTTAGTTACCCACATCTTCTGTTATTCCCAAGAACATAGCTCATAAATTATTAAGTGGTGCTGGTCTCAAAAGAACAACTCATTTGCAGGCGTTGATATTACCTGCTTGACCTACTTTCTCAATATCCATTCTTCAAATCATCAGTTCACCATTAACCTCAACACACAAAAACACATAAATTCATAATCAACAATTTAAATCATTGAAATTAACTTACAACTTGAATCTTCAGCCATCAGTCGCTTCCAATCTAGGGTCCCCTCTTTCTCCAATTTCCTCCCGTTCAATTCCACTCTGCGGTGCTCCGAATTGACTTCCTTGACATTACTCACATCCTCCGCTGTTTCTTCCTTTATACTCCTATCATTTTTACTACTTACGCTCTCCTCAATCGCTATCTCCACACTCCCTCCGTTCACCGCATTACCCACATTCCTCTGCCTGAGCTCCCCAAACGGCGACGCCACCATATACACTCGATGATTTCCCTCGCTCTCGACATCAGGTAACACGGCAGCCTCCGTGATTGTGCTCGCCGTACAACTGTGATTCACATCCCCGTTGATCGCAGATGTTCCGCAAACCACGGAGTGCTGCAGGGTGGTTTTCCCACTGGTGCTCTTTTTTTTATTCTTCTTCTTCTTTTTCCGGCGAGGGGAAGACGAAAGGGCGTCGCTCTGGAGAGCGAGGGGATCGGAAATTGAGCGAGACACGGTGGCGGTGGACATGACGTCGTCGAATTCGGTCGCTAGGATATCGAAGGACAGCTCACGGCGGCGGGATCTCAACGCCATGAAGGGAGAGGGCGTGTATCTGGGGTTGTGTTACGGAGGAGGAGAAGAAGAGTGGTGATTGAACATCGATGAAGGCAGGTGACACGGTGTAGGTAAGAAAGCCAATAGACGATCGACACGTGGGTATGCTTCTACGTCGGAGTTTGAACAAAGTCGCAAACCCCGTTCCATTTGGGGGTACCTTTTGGTTGCTTTTGGTGATTGGATATAAATTCAATTAGTAAAAAATTAGTTATTTTTTAATTATAATTAAATTTAAAAAAATATGGTATGGTTAGTTGTTAGTGGATATATTAAAATAATATTTAAAATAAAATAATTAGAGTTGATTTGATGTAAAAGTAAGAAATAATTGCTTTATACGAGACTTCACGAGAATGTGTATGGTTAAGATCTTTAATCCAGCATATTTGTGGGTCATGTGAAATTACAAATGATATAACCCCCACTGTCATTTACGATGACAATGCAGCCTGTGTTTTACAAATGAGTAGTGGGTATGTCAAAGGAAGCATGACAAAACACATTGCTCCAAAATTCTTTTACCCACACGAACTTCAGAAGAACAGTGAGATTATTGTACAAAAAGTAAGGTCTAGCGAGAACTTGACAGATCTATTTACCAAATTCCTTCTTATATCAACTTTTAAAAAATACATTTATGGTATTGGTATGCGTAAACTATGAAGACTATTGTCTTGAGGGGGAGTGACAAGTTCAAAATAATCCCGAAGATTAGTTCGTGAAGACCAAATGTTGTACTTTTTTTTCCTTAACTAAGTTGTTCCGTTTATTAGTTTAAAGGTTTTTTATGAGCCAGCTAATAAAACACATGAATTTTTATAAATCATGTACTCTTTTTTTCTTGACTAATTTTTTATTGGCAAAGTTTTTAATGAGGCATGTAATAATGTCAACATATCCAAGGGGGAGTGTTAGTGATTATATTAGCAAGGTTTCTATGAGGCATGTAGTTAGGTCATTTTATGATGTAAATTGTAAACCCTATATATATTATAGAAATACCGACTAATGAGATTAATCTTTTATGCGACTCTCTATCTTGTTCTCTCTAGTGCTTCTTATATTTCTTAGATTTGTTTTGTGAATGATGAATGCTTGAGGATTGAAGTGTTCCGATCTTCCGATCGACAATCGTTACGTTTGGGCAAAATAATTCACCTATATAATACTCCCTCCGTTTATTTTTAATTGTCGTTGGAGTGAACTTTTATTTTTGCTTATTAATTGTCGTTTTGGATAATCATGAACTTTTATCTCGTGAAAAAGTGATGAGAGAAATACAGATAACTGAGAAGGAGAGAGATACAATATAAAACTATTGTGGAGAACTCAAAATGAGATAGAAAATTATTAAAAAAGTATTTTAAAAGATTAAAGAGATTTAGAAAAATCTAATACTACAAAATAAGATAATTATTCCTTAAAATACGTATTTTTTTTAAGCTAAAACAACAATTAAAAATAAACGGAGAGAGTATTTCTTAACAAATTCAATTAGGTAAGTTAAAAATATATAAATAATTTAAGAGACCAGAGCAAACTGCGAAGAAGCCACATTTAGTCGGCCGGCGGAACTCCAACAACCTCCGGCGAATGAACGAACATATTATCCGTAGCGGATTTCTGCCGAAAATAATGGCACTCAGTTGTTGCTCCGCATTCCGCAGTCGCCCCATTACCCCCCTTTCTTTTCCCTCTCCCCGCCGGAACCCTAGCCCTAGGCGAAGAACCCTCCACCTCCATTCCCACCCACCGCCGCCAATCACTTCCCCTTCCCTCCACGACGGCTTCACCTGGGACGATGTCGTCCGCTTACCCCCAACTCCTCCCGACCTCCGCGGCTTCTTCGAGAAAGTGGCCATATGCAACCGCGACTACGGCAAGCTGAAATCCGAATTCATCCCGTTCGCCGTCGACGGCCACGTCGTCGGCCACATCCACCGTGAATTCGCCGGGAAGTACCTCCGGCCTCACAAAGACGTGTTCACTTTCCCGGAGAAGGAGCGCCTGGAGCTACATCCAGATCTGGCCACGCTAGACCGCAGGACAGAAGCCATCGGCCACGTCATAAATCGCCTGTGCGAGGAGGAAGAAGACCTCATTCCCGGAATACGGAACGAGATGTACCCGGTAAAATCCTCCTTCGGGTCGCCGGAGACCTTTTTCCTGCTGGAGCGGGCAGCTGCTCCTTATTTTGGGATAAAGGCTTACGGTGTGCACATGAACGGCTATGTCGAGGGAGTAAACAAGGACATGAAGAAGCATCTGTGGATTGGAAAGAGAAGCAGATCGAAATCGACTTACCCAGGAAGGCTCGACCATCTGGTGGCCGGAGGCCTGCCGGACGGGCTGTCGTGCGATGAGAATATCGTCAAAGAATGTGAAGAGGAAGCCGGAATTCCAAGATCCATTTCGAGCAGGGCAAAACCGGTGGGGGCTGTATCTTATGTGGACATCGACGGGTACAGATTGAAGAGGGATGTTCTGTTTTGTTACGATTTGAAGGTTCCGGAAGGTTTTGTGCCGGTGAATGAGGATGGGGAGGTGGAGAGCTTTAGGATGGTTGAGGTTGAGCGTGTGGCGGATATTGTGAGGACGACCGATTTTTTCAAGGATAACTGTAACTTGGTGATCATTGATTTCCTGTTTCGGCATGGGTATATTAGGCCCGAGGAGCCCGGGTATCTGGATCTGCTGCGGAGCTTGAGGAATGGGGATTGTACCTAAAGAGTGTGAAAATATGAAATAACGAAAATTCATGACATATATAATCAAAGTGAGTGAGGTTGCTCATCTGCGCTTGTCTCTCTTTTTTTCACTGTGCAATTGTATATTCTCTTCTTTCTCGGTTACTAAAATTGCCCGTGTGGTGTTATGTTCCAGTGCGTTCAGTATAGTATAGGCATCTATTATTACTTATTAGAGATGATAATTCTTTTGGTGAGTCAATAGAAAGGCCAACTAAAGGTTAAAGATTTGAACTTTGAACTTTGAATGTATTGTTGAAATTTGAACTTTTTCTTTTTCTTTTTTTTTTCTTTTTTAAAAGATAGAATTTATAGATATACACATAAATACAACTCGAACACAACTAGAAAAGTCAAACAGCTATCTCGTTGAGTCTAGCGGAGGACTCCGAATTCGGGAGTCTAGAAGACTACATAACTCACCCATAAGACTACACAAACTCCCCAACAAGACAAACTAATTAAGCAAGTCCCAAAACGGGATATAAGCTCCTACTAGAGGAGAATAAGCTCCTAACAAGAGGAGAAACACCAAAATCACAAAACAAAAACAAGAAAAACAAAGACAACAACACAAACACTACAAAACAACACAAACTAAATAGAATAACACCCTCCTTCCAACCGGCGAAACAAAGCCCCACACCCAGAGATAGAGCCCGATACCGAACCAAAACTCCAGTGAACCACGGCTAGCTGGAATTGCATAATACGACCGCAATCTTCTCCGGACGGACCACCATTGGACTGTGTTATACCACAAATTCTCGAGCCGCTCGACCGCTCCTCCCGAACCGGGTTTAGTCTCCTTCATTGTCGGTACCTACAAAACACGCCGGGGGTGGTCCCGGCGTGGACACTCCGACGCTCAAGTCAGTGGTGGTGTTTTGGAGAGAAAACGATAGAGTAACGAGATAATGTGTGTATATGTGTTGTGTAAAATGAATGAACTTATTCCCTTTTATAAGTAAGGTCATGCGCAAGTGGAAGAGTTCTTGTTGGTCTAGAAGTCTTCTTCGTGTCTATCTCTAAACTAGGTCAAAGATATCCAGAATTTCATAGTCCTTATCACTCCAAACTTTCTTGTGACTTGGCCACGAAGCCACCTCCAGGCTCTGGTCCCCTCGGCAGAACCCTCTGGCCGAGGTGTCTAGGTGCCGAGGTGCCTAGCTGCCGAGGTGCCGAGGCGCCTACCTGTCGAGGTGCCTAGCTGCCGAGGTGCCTAGCTGCCAAGGTGCAGAGGCGCCTAGCTTACCAACCTTTGGTACTCCGCCTAGCTAGTCCCCGCCTAGCTAGTCCTCGCCTAGCTCCCATTGGTACTCCGCCTAGCTAGTCCCCGCCTAGCTAGTCCTCGCCTAGCTCCCATTGGTACTTCGTCTAGCTAGTCCCAGCCTAGCTAGTCCTCGCCTAGCTCCCATTGGTACTCCGCCTAGCTAGTCCCCGCCTAGCTAGTCCTCGCCTAGCTCCCATTGGTACTTCACCTAGCTAGTCCCCGCCTAGCTAGTCCTCGCCTAGCTTTCATTGGTACTTCGCCTAGCTGGTCACAGCCTAGCTAGTCCTCACCTAGCTGTTTGAACCTCGCCTAGCTGACCAACCTTTGGTATGCCACCGAAGTGCTCATGCCAAGCTAGCCCCTTGCCTAGCTCCTATTCAGTGTAAATGTGACCAAACTCGGATCACAACCGATTCTCCATGAACCTCTACTTATGGCCATATCATCTAGCCCCCCCATTTCTTAAACAAACCATCACAGCTTGGCTTAAGAAATAGAAAAATTACTCATGTCACAGCAAGTGGTCACACCCAGATTGAAAAGCTCATCGGTCGCCTATCATAATCATGCTGATTTCATTCGGACTTTTCGCCGCCACATGAACTCGCCTACGAAGTGCCGCGGCATAACCCTTCGCGTTCAATGCCAAGCTGATCGGCATGAGGTGTCGCACCCGACACTCCTCGTTGCTGAGAGGCCAAGCTGACGAGCTGTAGGATGACGAGGTGCGCATTGCACCGGCGTGCTGCGACACACGACCGACGGAGCCGGAAAACGACGAGGTGGCGTATGCTGAGCTCAGAAGCGACTAGGTGCGCGTCGCGCCGGGCTGCAGATGACGAGCTGAGAAGCGAAGAGGTCGCGTATGCCAAGCTGGGAAGCGACAAGGTGCGCGTCGCGCCAAGCTGCCGATGCCGAGCTGGGAAGCGACGAAGCGAGCGTCACGTCGGGCTGTCGATGACGAGCTGGGAAGCGACGAGGTGCGCGTCACGCCGAGCTGTCGATGACGAGCTGGGAAGTGACGAGGTGCGCGTCACGCCGAGCTGCCGATGACGAGCTGGAAAGCGACGAGGTGAGCGTCACGCCAGGCTGCCGATGACAAGTTGGGAAGCGACGAGGTGTGCGTCGCGATGCCGAGCTGGGAAGCGACGAGGTGCGCGTCCCGCCGGGC